GAAATTGTGGGCGTGCTTATCCACACACAGGGGCATGTCCAGCGAAAGGAAAAACCTGTAATAATTGTGGAAAACCGAATCATTTCGCTGCTGTTTGTCGAGGAAAACAAAAACAAACGCGATCACCGAGAAATGCAAACAAAAAGCATGCACAAAGAAATTTAAAAACATTAGATACAGGATTAAACACGAGATCCGATGAAGACTATTTATATACTGTACCATGACAAATACAAAGCACAATAACAAGGTCAATGTTAAAGTAGGCGGTGCCAAATTTCAAACAACAATTGACAGTGGCGCGACAATAAATGTGATCGATCGTGACACTTTTAACAAAATGCAAGACATAAAATTAACTCGCACGAACACGAAAGCTTTCGCGTATAATACGAAATCACCAGTTGAATTTTTGGGAAAATTCGAAGCGGTAATCGAAACCCGAAAACGAATATCTGTAGCCACATTCTATGTCGCTAAAACTGCGAACTGTGGAAACTTACTTTCTGTTTCTACTGCACAAGAACTCGGACTTATTAGTTTGCACCTAGACAAACTGACATCAAAGGATGCCGCACTAGAAAACATCCTTCAAAAACATTCTAAAGTTTTTCCGATCTTGGAAAATTGAAGGGAGAAAAAATCAAACTAGATATAGACAAAACTAAAATTCCGAAAGCACAACCCCAAAGGCGCATACCCTATCACATTCGAGAAAAAGTGAAAAACGCGATAACTGAATTAGAAAATCAAGATGTCATTGAAAAAGTGCCCGAAAAAGAAGCTACTCCTTGGGTTTCACCAATTGTAGCTGTTCCCAAAAAAGATGGACAGGTTCGCATATGTGTCGATATGCGGCTCGCAAATGAAGCTATAAGACGAGTACGCCATCCTATACCAACAGTAAATGATGTTAGTTTTGCCCTGAATGGAGCAAAATTTTTCTCGAAACTTGATTTGAGCCAAGCGTATCATCAGTTAGAACTGGACGAACAGTCTCGTTATATAACAACTTTTAGCACTCATGTAGGTTTGTATCGCTACAAAAGACTAAACTATGGTACAAACGCTGCAGCGGAGATATTTCAGTACACACTCCAAACCGCACTGCAAGGGCTAAAATGCGTAAAGAACATAGCTGATGATATCATTGTATTCGGCTCAACAAGAACTGAACATGACGCTAATCTTGACCAATGTCTACAACGACTTGCAATGAAGAGCTTACGACTAAACCGAAGCAAGTGTAATTTCCTTAGCACTACATTGTCATTTTTCGGACAGGTCTTTTCGAAAGAAGGTACTCATCCTGATCCTAGGAGAGTATAGCTGATCTATTAAATGCACCTCAGCCAAATAATGCACATGAAGTCAGGAGCTTTCTTGGCATGGCCAACTATAGTAGTAAGTACATTCGAGATTTCGCAACACTAACTGCTCCCCTTCGTGACCTGACAAAAAAGGATGTTCGTTTTGAGTGGACTCAAACACACCAAACTGCTTTTGAAAAGCTGAAAAACACGCTTGCAATTGCTCCATGTATGTCATATTTCGACAAAAACAAACAAACTTTTGTAACAGTTGATGCTAGTCCTGTAGGAATTTCTGGAATTTTTTCTCAGAAACCAAGAAACGGTGACGTAGACAGTCAACAGATAATTGCATATGCCAGCCGAGGGCTGACTGATAGAGAAAAAAGATACTCCCAGACGGAAAAAGAAGCGTTAGCGATAGTATGGGCAGTTGAACATTTCCATTTATTTATATACATATGGAAGTGAATTTACACTAATAACTGACCATAAACCTTTAGAAATTATTTATGGCCAACGTACAGCCAAAACATCAGCGCGAATTGAAAGATGGGTGCTTCGCCTCCAACCATATACATTTAAGATAATTTATAAATCAGGTGCCAGCAACCCTGCGGACTATCTTTCTCGTCATCCAACAAACGAAAGCAGACGAAAACAGGAGAAGATGACGGAACAATATATTAATTTTATAACTCAGAACAGTGTCCGTAAGGCGATGACATTACAAGAAATAATCAATGCAACTAACGCAGACGCGGCACTAACAGCACTCCATGATGCAATTAAAACAAACAAATGGGATTCCCCAATTGTAAAACCGTTCAAAGCCGTAAAAAACGAACTTACGTCTACCACACACGGTGTTATACTTCGAGGAACACGGATTGTCATTCCTGCGACTCTACAACAACGTGCAATAGATATAGCACATGAGACACACTTAGGAATAGAGAAAACGAAGTCTCTAATTCGTGAAAAAATCTGGTTTCCGCAAATTGACAACCAAGTCAAAAACACAATTGCTAAGTGCACCACTTGTCAAGCTGTCGGACAGGCGAATCCTCCACAACCATTACGTATGACCGAAATGCCAGAGTTACCATGGAGAACTGTCCACATAGATTTTTATGATCCACTACCATCGTCTGAATATCTGTTAGTGGCGGTAGATAGATACTCCAGATTCCCAGAGGTTGAGATAGTTCATTCAACACGAGCCTCAACAGTCATTCCAAAACTTGACAAAATGTTCTCAGTCCATGGCATTCCAAAGGAGAAACACAAGAAAAAGTGATCTGCAAGTTGAAGATTATGTACTGGTTAGACAAGAATAGAAAAACAAGCTAACTGGCAATTTTAATCACAAACCGTATAAAGTGATAAAGAAAACTGGTTCAGAGATCCTTGCCCAAAGTAAAGATGGTCATATTGTGAAACGGAACGTATCACATTTCAAGCGAATAAATAAACCACGAGAAGAAGACACTGATGATGAAAGTTTCGATTATGAAGAAAACTCGCAGAACAATCAGCCATCCATCAGTAATGAAAACAATGCACCAAGAAGATCAAGCCGAATTCGAAGACCACCGAATCGATACGGACATGAATATCCATCAAATCTAATAAACTAACATAACAATTAAATAGCTAAATAACTTCAAATTTAATTAAACATTTTGATATTTGACAATCAAGTTAAAACAAAGGGAATGGTATAGTAATGTACGTCTATTAATCATTAACGCACGTATTACAATTAGTTTATATTTGGAATATGGACATTATATATTCAGTTGTTTACATATAGCCGAGATATCAAGAAGTCTATTAAATAAGAGAACATTATAATCACAATAATCACATGGAAGTTTATTTTAGAAAAAGCGCCGTGGTGGGGTGGCTACTACGAGCGAATGGTTAAACTTGTTAAGCAAAGTTTACGCAAAGTTCTGGGACGAGCTCAATTGAGTTATTGTGCGAGGAACTCATGACAGTACTGACCGAAATCGAAGGAGTTCTGAATTCCCGATCTATTACTTATGTTTATCCCGATCTTACTGAGGAACCATTAACCCCTTCACACCTAACCATCGGGAGACGGCTTGCCACATTACCAAGTGAAGGGCAGCTTAGTGATGACGAACGTTCGGAGGCAACGTTCAAACGTAGAGCACGTTATCCAAGCAAATTACTGGAACATTTTTGGAAACGATGGTCTAGAGAATAATTAGTAGACATGAGAGAATTTCACAATAGCAAATCCACAAAATCAAGGAGAAGAATTCAAGTAGGAGATGTTGTATTGATAAAGGATGATGGACTACCGAGATCGAAATGGAAACTTGCAGAAGTTAAGGAATTGATGAAAGGTAGAGATGGAGAGACAAGAGAAGCTGTATTGAGAACAGTGACAAAGAAGGGATCCCATACGATCCTACGAAGACCAGTTCAAAGACTCTTTCCATTGGAAGTGAATAGTAACGCAGTTAGCCAGCAGGAGAAATTATCTGAAGAGAAGAATTAAACAGTTGAATCATCGAAACCAGCTAGACGAAAGGCAGCTATGAAAACAGATACTGTTCGCAGACTTTTTGACCAACGCTGACGCGATAGTCAAGGGGGGGAGGGGGGAGTGTAGATAAACTATAAACTTTAATACAACCGGAAACTGACTATTTGACATTGATATTTATAGTAATGACGCCAAAGACAATAATAGCGTGATTAACATTATAAAAACAAGAGCAACGAGAATATGGGAATTTGGTGTAAACAATAGCGTAAAATATAATAAAATTGATATTTAACACAGAAGATTAGTAAAACATATAATACAATAGTCTTTATTTATTTGTTTATACATATATATATATATATATATATATATATATATATATATATATATATATATATATATATATATATATATATATATATTGTGTTTCATAGCTTAGTATATTGATAGACACACGGCCCTTTAAAAAACAGTTTTGTAAATAATTATCCACTGAATAGGCTACCGTGTGTAAAGAATTTTAATTAAAGATTAAAGATCAAAGATTAGGTCTTCGATCGAGCTTCAATCTCGCCTTAGTAGAACTGTACAATAGGACGCATCTACATAGGCACATTGTCAGCTATAGTTAAGATAACGTTTTACATTTATACAGAAATGTATGATCTCCCTACGCAAATTTGTACTCGATCGCCCCCTGAATGAAAACTTCAACCTCGCAAGCCAGGGTCTTTACTTCCGCTCCTGGGCGGACACACGCTGCAGCGACGACCCTGGTTCAGGCTGGTCGCGTGACACCTTCAGTAGTTTTGTCCCTTTGGGGGGTAGGCTGAATTGACACGCACGTTCTTACGCGCAAAAAAACATTTCCGGTTATTGTTTACGAGCTTCTCAAGAGCAGATTAATTGTTGAATCGCGATATAGACAGTTCAAAATCACTTCTAAGATGGGAAATACTCGAAATGTTTGGTTTTTGTGGGTAGCCGCGCATGCGCAGCTAACCACTATGTGAGAGACTGAAGCGCGATCTTCCGTTTCTCTGTGGCTCTGTGGCCTTCGTGTCCGCGGTGTCCTGCTGCGCGGTTCTTTTTTTCCTTGAAATACGAACCGTCTATAGACCACAGGCTAAGTTCACTAACGCTCATACCGTACAGAGATGTGTATAAATTCTTAGTAAAGTCTTTATTGTA